TGCTACTCCAAAAGTCAAGCAAAAAGCAAAAAAAAAAAAAAAAAAAAAAGAATGAGTGATGATTTGTACATCAGTCATTAACACCGAGGCTTTGGACAAGACAAGTTCACCGCGTCGAACCTTTTTGGTTTGTTTGGCGACAAATTTGACGTCAATCACCGTCGAGGCATCAGCCAAGCAGCCGTTCCTCGCGATGATTGACATGTCTTCAAATGAATAATATAGTACAGCTAAACCGAAAGCAGGTATCCGTCAGTTTCAGCTTCAACTTTCCATAGGCAATTCTCGAGCAAAAAATGGCAGCACACACTGTTTGAGGTTATAGAGGAGAACATTTTAGATGCATCCATTATTTAATTGGGTTTGCTTCACTAAACCGAGCAATAAAAGATGATAATGGCCACCCTCCTCCTCCTCCTCCTCCTCCGCATCACCGGTTTCCATTTTGTTTCGTTGGCACGTGCTTCTGACTCACTTGCCAACCAAGTTCATCAGGGACTTCAATTTCCTGAACCACAAATGAAGGCCTCCTTGTTTCACTGGACATGTTATCCAGTATCCAAAACTAGCATCACAAATGACTGGATTTTGGTTGGTTAATCATCTTCATTTTTTCTGTTGACTAGCAGCTAGGAAGATGTATGAACAAATCTGCACTGCATAATGAGATATATAAACTTCTCAACAATCAAGTAGATACTGAAGCCAAAAAAGCTTACTTTTGTGCACACTGAAGCAAGCATCCTTCTGCAAAGGAAACGAAGAAGCAACATTAACAAAGCCGCAACTAAAATCTCAGTAATGTGACTGCACTTTATGTCCATTATTGAAAGAGATCATTGAACAACCATCCAGGTTTTGAGTGAGAACGGAAACACACCAATCGATGAGCAAAGCATTGTTGATATACTGATTAGCAAAATACGAGCATGATATATGTACCAACCGCATAAACATATACAATAGGCTGCAGATGATTTACATACATATCGTTAGGGATTAATCTCCTTCGAGTTAAATGAGCTGCTCTCAAGACTTTGGAGCAGCCTTAAGGAGGCAATCTGTTACTATCTTCTGATGAGACGAATTAGCCAACAGGTTTTGCAGCTGAAGAATTCGACAAGGTGCAGGTGGATAAGCAAAAGTGTCCCTGACAGGTCATTTCACATGAGAATCATAGACATCCAAAACAGAATCTGGCATAACAAGTGGTAACTTCTCTATGTACATGAACAGGCGCCTCAGATTCTCTTTCACAACCGTTGCCATGTCAACAACATCGCGTCTGTCAGTTAGTATCCATAGGTCATTTGGATTTACCCTCTTGAGGCTATCGCGACAGAAGGGGCAAGATTGTGATCGCGAATGCCTGCATAGAATCAGTTTGCTATTAATATGCAACAATATCATTTAGTGAACCAACTTTTTTATTTTAGGATCACTAGTAGAGAGAAACCATGATCGATTCAGTGAGAGATCTCACAAGTACCGATCAATTCAGTGACCTTTCTTGGAAGGAAATAAGGTCACGATAAAATTTGAAGGGCTACTTCAGCAACTGAAACTTAATTATGGTCACCCTTGAAGCTAAATCTGGAGCTGAGGAAAGACAAAAGTTATAAGAGATGGGGAAAAAACTTGCTTGAAAGAACCCTTTGAATCTCAGAAGCCAAGAAACAAAGGATTGCTTCATATTCCCAAGGATAGTTTGGCTATCTGGATTTAATCACAAACGTGGAAACAAAAGTGGGTGCTTTGTCCCTGCAATAACTTTGACACTTTGCTCTTTCTTATGATCATTGAAGGAAACATTCACATAAATTGGAGCAAATCTATAAAAATAAGTAAAACCCCTAGTTGGTTCATCAGTGCAAGGCAAATTGAATAAAATTTATTATTATCAGGATACAATGCACTGAATACTTTCATATGTTCTGAAGACACGAGAATTTATTTGATTATGACAACTATTGGTGCTAGTCTAACAGCATGTAATTTTATCTTCATCAGCATATAAGTTTAATTAATCTGCTAATAAAGAAAGGAACACCAGGTCCCCACATCTAAAAGTCATAATATTTAATGTGAGCATATACGGTAAAGAAGTTTGATTTCTAATTTTATAAATTAACAAGAATCACATTATCTTGAATCTATCTTCTATAAATCATCTAACTAAAAGTCTACAAAAAAATTAGCTTTGGAGATTTCAGAAAATATATAAGAATGTGAATATGAAATGGCTTTCATTACTCGCCAATGGAGAGAAAAGGACCATGGAGGCAATCACAAATATTTGGGACCATACAACACTACTACTGGAAGCTACATAGACAACTCATCATATATCTAGAATATGGATATGGTCTCCCAAAAACTAGACACTATTAAAGAAGGCATTTGATTACCAGTGATGGAATTATTTAATTTAGTTTCTGGGGATTAGGTTGGACAATGCTTCTTATACTCATTCCTATATCTCGTGAAATACATGGGAGATAACCAAAGCAGTCTGAGAGGAGAAACTATACCATTCATAGTAGCACCTCATGCACATAGCATGGCCACAATTTGGCAACACAACCTTGCTGTTCGTCTCCATGCAGATACCACACTCTTCCTCTCTCTCAACATCTATCTCTGAGAGTTGCTGCTTGTCATCATCTTCTCTTCTCCTATACCTTTCTACACAGATGGATTTTTGCTTTTTATCTTCCATATCAGTTATCCCTTTTTGCAGTTGTATCAAAGAAGGGAAAATCACCCCTGAACATAAACAACCCTTTAAAAATTTAGAGTTACAATATTCATACCATCAGGATGGAAACTATCAAGTTTAATACAAGCTAATAAGTTTACCGTAAAACTCTTTGATACTTGCTTTCCTTTCTTGGATAGACATTGTGGTTTTTCCATCAACATAAACCTGCATAGCAAAATGTTACTAGATAGAGGAAAAATCAAGGCAATAAGAACTGAAAAAATTACCAATGTAGGTCTAAGGCAAATTAAAAGCTGGACACGTCAACCTTATATATCAGAACTCTCAGCAGACCAAGAGCCCCTGCAAGGCTACAGTCTGTCCATTGCACCAGAAAAAGAAATAAGTGTGCAGCTGGGCTATATGACATTCGCATCTGAAGACAAGCACCATCATATTCCCTTGGAAAATCTGAAGCTCTGCACCTTAACAAACATTAGATGTTGTAATGTGGAGACAGCAGCAAATACAGAACATCTGTTATTCACTTCATTTACCAGGGCCTAATTATGTTGAAGGTTGTAGTTTTGCTATTTATAAATCGTTTGAATTCAAAGGCTAAGGATGCATGCAAGTGAAAGCTTGTCACTCGTCACCGAGAAAATGAAAGTTAAGTAAAAAATCAGTGAGAATAAATAAAAGCAACATGGAGAAATACATCCAGCAATTAGATTTTCAGATTCGTATTAACCACAATATAAGAATCCAAAATGACATGCTAAACACAGACACAAACTAAAATGGATGTACAATAGTAATAAATCAGAAATAATTAGAATATGAAGTTCTCAATGTTATTTTTACAAGAAGCAAGAAAAGCTTCTGGATTACCAATTTCCAATTTTCTTTTTAAGAGGTTGAAATTGACCTTGGGATCTCTACTAAATTGGGATCAGCCAAAAATATATTGAAATAAGAACTTCCAGAAACAACAAAGCTAAATGTCACAGAAACTTTCAGAAACCCGAAAACTAGAAGTCACACAGAGAAAAAAGCACTTACACTAGCAAGGAATGAAGCTTTAAACCAGCATTGAGACTTGTGCTAAGCACTAAACCAAACAATTGAATAACTTTTCACCTTAACGTTCCATTTAATCAAGTGCAATTCATGACAAGATATGGATAAGACATCAGCAAGTAATGATGGTCAATAAATTAACGCGACTCATGGCAATGATATGAAACTAAATATGAATAAAGTATCGAGATAAACTTTACTGGTCATCATCATCTAAAGAAACTTCACAAGGTACATCCTTTCTCACAAATACTCCACACAGATATGCCATTATTACTCCCTTCAGAACGAAAGCCTCTTAATTAGCAAAAGTTGAACTAAGAATTAACTTCTCCTTCGTTAAACACCTTTCACATGTGGCGGCGGGGGGCGGTGGAGCATTTCCTTTACTGTTTTAGAATAGTGTTTTCCAACAGCAGCTAAATAATTAACTCAGAATTTCAATATCCAGACGAAGGCAGCTACTTTATAGTCGATAAATGTCATTGCACAATTACATTCAGTGTGTTCTATTGAATTATGAAGACTCAATCCGGAGCACAACTAAAACTTACCGTGTCCGAAAAAAAGATACAAAGATTCTGATTTCAACAGAAGGGTAAAATAGAACACCTCAAATCTACCCTGTAGTGCAGAACTGCTCACATTTCGGCATCAACAATTAAATGCACCAGACCAAGAATCAGTACTATTCATAAGAAAACTACCAAGATTAGCATGCAGATTTTTCTAAATACTATCAAAAAGAAAACCAGAAAACATCTTCGTACAAATTACACTCCAAAAGAATAGGAAATTTCCTAAAGAAGCTACTTTGGTTTCAAATATTACCCAATGATCCAACAACGTCTCATATTCCTAGTAAGAAGACCGGGACGGCAGGATCCGGTGGCAGATAAGTCCACTTACAGTGAGTTGGCGTGCTGGATGTCAGCTTCGAGGACTTTGAGGGAGTCCTTGAACGATTTCCGCATGGAAACGAGGAACATCTGAGCCGGAAATCATCCAGCAGCGATGCGAAACCCTGACCCTATCCCGCCTCCTGGCCTCCGCCGAGACTCCAATTCCTCGTCCCGCCAAACCCTAGCGAGCTCTTCCTCCTCTTCACCCTCCCTCTCTCTCTCCCTCTCCCTCTCCCTCTCGCGTTCGTTGCTTTAGAGGGGGAGTAAACTGTGACACGACCGAGCGAAGAAAAGGTTTCCTCCACGCCACGTGGACGGAGCAGGCTTCGTGCGCGTCTGTTTTAGATTAAAGTGGACGGCAACCGAGCACCAGCGTCTTAATTCGACAGAGGACAGATTCGACTCGCGGGCCCCACGGCATGAAAAGTTGTCATTGGTAAACATCGAGGCCGTAGAAGAAGCTCGTTGGTTCTTGCTGTGCCCGTCGAACACGATAAAATTAAAGTGCCTCTTTTGGGTTCCTCGAGCGTACGCTATCCAACCGTTCAAATAATATATGTAACCAAAATGTCGTTTTAGCCGACACTACTAAGACATGTAACGGAGGGCTCATTCGATCACGTTGTCGGTCATTGATTACTGCCATCGCCTTCCTTGATGATTGAATAGCCATCAATATGAACTGTTCCACACCTACTTATTACCATTCAAAATATAACGATATGAATAGAAATTGGAGTGTTCTTAATTATTACTAATTAATTTTTTATTTAATTATATTTTTATACGATACCCAATTTAAAGAATCGTTTATAATTATGAAGGATACATAAATCATACGACACCGATATAAAGAATAAATACAAGCATAGACTTAACGAGGATAATGAATTCTTTTTACGGAGAACAATCGAAAAAACTCGAAGATGTGCCTAAGTCCACTCAAGCTAGCGATGGAAAAGCTTGGAGGCCTAAGCCACAAAAGTTAGGTTGGATCGAGCGCATATCTATCAACCTAGCCTTCGAGAGTTATTTATGATTCAGTCGACATAGTTACTGTATCATCTAATTTATGATATGCTATGTTTAAAGCCCAAGCCCTGTGTAGGTGTTAAATGTGCTAAATATGATGTGAATTTTTTCTAAGATCTCATATGTTTTATTATTTATGATATGAAGGTCATGACATTCCCGTTAGTTTCACAATTGAAACTTCTTCGATTCTTAAATATCGATGGTCGATACTTGATCAACTACCCACCTTGTTATTGGAGGTAATGAGAGTTTCCTATAGAACCCACATGTGGATTGATATTATATTAAAGGAATGACTAGCTTAAATTTTTATTGATAATGGGTATGAATTTATATACACAAAGAGATATTACAAAATATGATAATTACATAATTTTTTTATTAATAATAATATAAAATATTCATCTAAATCATTTCATAATACATTCTATCACATTGAGATCATGATCCTCATTATTTATAGAATTATGATAATATGTTAGAATAATTTTCATGATTTAGAATCATTATAAATATTATTAAAATATTGAGAGGATTATGATAGTTTAATCATGATTTGTTTTATCAATAATATCCTTTCTAATATGCCCATACAAGATTGTGCTTCTATCGAAGACACCAATCTTGGATTGAAGTAGAAGGAATTGTTAGCGAGACAAAGGCTTGGTAAGAGCATCTACAAGTTGATTAGAAGATAAGACATGAGAGAGACATAGCTCATAATTTTGAACTTTGTCATGAACAAAATGAAAATTGATAGCTATGTGCTTCATTCGAGAGTGAAATACAGGATTAGTATATAGATATATTACCTCGATATTATCACTATATATAGATGGAGGATCAAAGAATGTGACAAATGGTTTATATAGTAATGATTGAATCCAACATAGTTTAGTAATTATGGAAACAACCACTCGATGTTCAATCTTTGTAAAAAATCTTGCAATAGAATATTGTTTCTTAAAACTCTAAGAGATTGGATTATGATAAAAAATATGACATAAGCACTAGTAAATATCCTTCCATCTTTGTTACCTACCTAATTGATATCCAAAAATGCATGAAGCAATAAAGGAAAGTTATTTCGGAGAAATAAGTCATGATCGATAGTGACCTTTAATATCGGAGAAGACATTTAACAATTGACCAATGATTGAAAGTAGGCATGTACATAAATTGAGATGATTTATTCATTGCATATGCAATCTAGATGAATGAATACTAAATACTAATTAGACGATACTTAATTGTGTCACTAAGCTTAGGACTATCATATAGGATAATAGGAACACTTGTAGATATTGTGATAGTAATAGTATTGGCTTTAAGCATTTTGCTCAGAAGATCATGAATATACTTTTGCTAAGAAAGAAATAGATCATTTGTTGTGTGCATAACTTGAATATAGCTGAGGGATCTAAGATCTTTGATAAAAAAACTTATAGAGATTAACATAGTAATAGTATTGGCTTCAAATATTTTAGTGCTATTTAAAATGCCATGAATATCCTTTTATTGAGAAAGAAATAGACCACTTATAAAGATTAGTACTATCAGATAAGGTAAAATAAATACTTATAGAGATTAGCAAAAATAAATACTTATAGAGATTAGCAAAGTAACCGTATTAGCTTCAAACATTTTGATACAATTCAGAAAGTCATGAATATACTTTAGTTGAGAAAGAAATGGATCATTTGTCATATGGATGGTTGAACACCAAGAAAATAACTAAAGAACCTAAGATCTTTTATAGAGAACTTGTTTTCTAAGTTACTGAATTAATGGATTAATTATTATTGATTTATTACTCGTAATAATTAAGTTAGATTGAGAATTATGCCCTCATGAGAATAAATGAATAATAAATTATCAGATTAAGAATTAAAAAATTTAACTGACTAGATATATTCAAAATTTATTATACTAAGCACAATGGGCCTGCTTGAGACCATAAAGGGTCCTATGTAACTTATAAATATATTAAGGAAGATTGTGATAATAAAGCCTAGAGGTTACCTCATAAATATATCCTCAAAAAAATAATCATAAAAAAATACATTATTCACATCCAACTATCGAAGTCTCCAATTGTTAGACAAGGCAAAATGTAAAATAATATAAATTTTTGTTGCTTCATAATTTGGCTAAAGGTATCATAGTATATAAGGCCTAGACATAAATGAAATCCCTTTGTAATAAATCTTGCTTTATACTTATTAATGGATCCATCAAGATTTTGTTTGATACAAAAGACTCATTTACGCCCTACAAGATTTTAACTTGGATTGGATGAGACTAAGTCCCATGTACTATTCCGTAATAAAATATTATATTCTTCAAACATTGCTACTCATTATTTAGGAATTTTTAAGGCTTTATTGACAATAAAAGGTTAAGAAATGAATTTTTAGGATTACTTTATAAAAATAAAGAAACGTTTATTTGGTTTGAAGACTTAATTTTTGGATCTGGTAACCATCGGATGAATTAGTGTAGGGTTAATGACATCTCTAGGATGTATTGAACAAGAAAATTTAAAATAAGAGATATTATAACCAAATTTTTCTATGAATTCTTCGAATACGTGATACTCTCATGAGGCAACTCGATGAACGAGGTAACATATTATTCATCATACACTACTAAGGAAAGACCTAGTAGGTTTTGAATGGATAAAATATTTGGATTGATGAGTAAGGTTGATGTTTTAACCTGAACGAGAATGATAATATGAGGTAACTCATGAATTTGAGGGATCCAATCAATAAAGTTATTGGAAGCTAGTATGAGTAAAAAAGAGTCAAGTGATTTATAAAGAAAAATATATTCCATAAAATCAATATGGTGATAAATAAAAATTCTTTTCATTGATAAATCAAAATATTTAAAGGCACTTTGATTAGTAGAATATCCAAGAAAGGCACATGGTTTTGATCGAACTTTTAGTTTATTATAGGTGTAGGTTTTTAACCATATATACTATAGACACCAAAAAACACGTAATTTACTATAGTTACAAGTGGATCTAAATAGTTTTTCAAATGGTGAACTATGTTAAGAATTCAAGTGGGCATGTGATTAATAAGATAAGTTGATATAACAAATGTATGAGACCAAAATTGAAGAGGTAAAGAAGCTTGAGCAAGAGTGTGGAACCAATTTGGATGATATACTAATGATAACGATCTGCGATCCCATTATATTCAAAAGTATGTGGAGGGGTGAGAAAACGAGAGATTCCATTGGTTTTAGAAAAGTTACGAAGCTTTTAAAATTTATTATTATTATTAGAGTAAAATAAAATAATATATCGTTGAAAGAACTTTTCAACAATAAGTTTGTACTTAGAAAAAATAATGAATACTTTATATTTTTGCTTCATGAGAAATAATTATATACACTTTGTGAAATAATCAATGAAAATAAAATAGCAGTCAAATTTATCATAAGATTGTATTGGTGAAAGAGGCTGACTATATAAGTTCAAGAGGCTAATTACTTGTTAGAGAGGATTTAGAAAATGGAAAGTTATGCATTTTATTGTATTTGCATGAATTACATAAAAAAGAATGATCAGATAATGATGATGATAAGGTAAATTATAAGAATAAATAATATGATTTAGAACCTTAAAAAAGGATGACGTAAGTGATTGTGTTATTCTTGAAATGGAGCTTTAGTGGTGGCCAAAGCAAAGATGAATTAAGATGAAGATGATGCAACACTTGGCTACTTATAAATTTCATCTCTACTCAGTCCCTCCATAAGATATGCCCCCATATTAAGATAATTTATAATAAATAAAAAGTATAAGAATTTAATAAAAATATTATTAGAATAATATAATTTAGAGATAGATATTAGGTTCTTCTTCATATCAAGAACAAAAAAAAAATCATAAAGTAAAAAAAAATTGAGAAAAAGGGATGATTTATAAAATTAGTATAATTTATTTTGAGACATTTACCATCATCTATCATAATATCATTTAAACCATCATAATATGAATGAAGAGATGCATTATTTAAGTCACATGATGAGAAGCACTAGAATCTATAAGCTAATTTGATAAAGGTTAAAAGGATTGAGCAATAAAGTGGACAGATGATAATAAAAATTGGATAAGTGGTGTAGCAGAATATGTAGAATAAGGTGAATATGAAGGCTCAAACATGTATATAATATCTCATTTTCTTGAAAGAG